GTTGTATAGCTCCCTCTGAAGGTCAATATATTAATTAAGCTATAAAACATTGTTTCTTGACTAAAATCGACCGGTTAGCTATTCCCGTTTGGAAATTATATATCACAACTACATATTCTGATATTTTCATGTGCTAATTTTCTAGTGCTTACCATACATCCACAGGGGCATCCAAATATATCAAAATTGTACAGAATCCCTATCCAGCCAATTTTCAAAATTTCCCAAAGCTTTGTATTAATACCTTTAATAGTCATGTTTATGGAACTGGTCATAACAAGGAGTTATTTATTTGCACGCTCAAACGCAAACATACTCGCACGCACACACGCACACACGCACACACGCACACAAACACGCATCCACCCATATATCCCCCATATCATTCGTTATTTTCTATATGATATTCAATTTTCTAGAGTATAAGATTAATTAGCTCAATTATCCCTCGTAAATACCATTCACGCTTACTATTACAGCAGTTTACTGCATTAGGTTCCACTGATACATGAGTATATCTGCAAGACTGAAAACATTATCCTACTTGTTGGCTAAAGAGAAGAAGACAAACAATACTATTGTAAGACTTAAATCAATACTTTCCGAACATAATAGATTCAAGTCATGATTTCGCATCTACCTAGAAGAAGATACAACAAAATGTATTTCCTAAAAAGTCAGATTATCGTCACTAATAGAAAATATGTTTTATGTGACATTTTTGTGTGTAATGATTTGTTTGTTTGTTTCAAATGATACTCTATCAAAAATATAAATATGAAATCACAAGATGGTATTGGCACGGAGGAAACTGGAGCTAATTACAAGACGATATTGTTAGGCATAGGGTTGTTCCGCCTGAGGTCTTGCTTTAAAATATTGTTCCAGGCCTCAATATGTATAGTTTGCGCAGTACATTTACATGTACAGTACTCCCCTGATTCTACCATCTTTGCCCTAAAATAAACATAATTGACCGTGGCTCCCAGATAAGCAGAGCTTAATGCATTGCGATTCCTTTCTGATGTATATCTTTATATTTCACTTGCTACAGGGTGATTCCAATATGGGGGTGAACACTGATGGCGAGGAGATGGGTCCAGGATCATCATTGACAGATGGAGTCGAGGTAAGCAAAATGTATCTTTTTGCTAAGGCACTTTAGAAGGTTTACTCATTAAAGTTTAATAGAATTGATATCATATCTAGTTATATTTGATATGTCATGAATATGTATGAGGTTTATAGACTTGACGTTCTCACTCCTGATATTTAAAAGCATTCACAAAGAATATCTCACACTCAAATCGTCTGGTGAGCCGGACATTGCTTCTGAGCCGCAATCTACAGAGAAAGTTCACTGTAATATTAAAGTGGCTAAGTAACAGAATATAAATTAGAGAAAAATATAATAATAATAATAATAATGATAATATGGCTTGTTTACCCAGGGTAGCCTCATCAGTATTCATACTGTTCTCCCTGAGGGCTCAGCAATCAAATCATTACCCCAGTCATCGGATTCAGGGTAACCCGCACATTCTCCACTCCCTGGGGAGCATTCCAGCCAGGCGTCATTTTTACAAGCGCTCTCTTGCTAATCTAAGCACATTAGCTTTCGCATCCTACCTGGTATCCATTTAACACCTGGGTGGAGAGTGGAAAATGTAGATCAATGTCTTGCCAAAGGACATTAGTGCCGCGGTGGGACTTGAACCGCGGACCTTGTGATCCACAGTCCCGTGACATATCCACTCGTCCACGTGGTGAATGTTTAAAATCGAACGAAAGATAAGAAACTTCAAAGTTTTAAATGTATAATCATTCTATCACAATGATGCTTCCTTATGATTTATCACGCATGCACCCCAATTAGTGGTCCTGTAAACAAACAAAAACAAAAAATCCAATTTAACCAAAAAAAAAGATATAGTGGTTTTATACCTATGCTCTAAATATATTATTACAATTGTTTTAACCATCAACAAACTCTGTAATAGAACTTTATTGTTTTCATCAGAAAAACAAATGGCCTTAGATGACATAGTTTGTGATTGAAACCAAATTAAAGATTGATAAGTTTCCACTCCTGTTGTCGGATATTCCTCAGATTTTCACTGACCCGTTTCTCTCATTAACCCTGCCCTTATTTAAATAAAATTCAATTATAAATTATAAATGAGGTAACCCATAAATGACCCGAGCGTATGATCTAATTCAAAATATAACATTGTTCAGTCCTCTCCGAATAGTTATTCTTTGAGTATCTAAGTGACTTAGAACCAAATGTATGAATTATTTCAGCAGCTTTGAAAATTGAAAGATGACAATTGGTCGGAGTTTCGGGAGTTTTTCGTTGTTATCGTTATTGCCAAGTTAGCTTTTCATGAGATCAAGTTCGCCAACAACCCATTGAAACGTACTGTGTTACATTTAACATGCGTTTCAATGGGTTGTTGGTGAACTTGTACATATGACGGTTTTGTGAAACGATGCAATGATTCTCTGAAGACTAGCACGAACAACTCCCCCCCCCCCGAGAAAATGGACCTGGAAAACAACCCCATCCAGGACAATTAAATCCCTGATAATAAGCTCAGCACAACTCCGTCATTGATTGATTGCCCCCTCGTTAGCTGTCTGAGAATATAAAGTGAGATATATTTTTTGGGGTACTCTAAATAGTATTTGGTAGGGGAAATGTCCTTGCACGTCATTATCTATTTTACATTGAAATATAATTAGCTACGTTTATAGATGTTCCAGACTTTTATATCAATGCATGACACACGAACGGTATTCTTGCTTCATTGGGCTTTGTTTACTAAGCTTTTAAGTTTGCAGTTTAAATAGCTAGGTCGCATCGTGAGTGAAACAAATATTTTGGTAAAATAAATCTTTAGTTTTGAGGGCATATAATTTGATTAGGTCCTTTAAAGAGATTATACCAAAAAAAAACAGCTTTAATTGTTGTTCTTGGGTTGAAATTAGTCAGGTCCTCTAGTAAAGCCGCTTCCTCCCATCATGCCCAGTGCTGAGTTTACGCTTAAAGCAACCCATAAACTAGTTCTAGCCATTTTGGTGTATTGAAGAAGAAGCACCAGCTTTCACACTTTAAAGGGGTAACATCATGATTTAGGTAACAACAATATTCGAATTCGTTCCAGGTGACGTCATATTGTTTCCCAATTATTAGTTATGTCAAAGCGATTAATTAATTAAGAGATGAATCCCTGTGACATTATGCCATCAATAAATGTGATGACATTTTGGTTTTGTTTGCTTTTGTCCAGCTCACTGAGAAATCTGGCGAGTTTGAAAAAGAGACTGAAGATGAGAGCCTTCCTCAAGACGCTGGAGGTGACGTAGGAATTCAGGAACGGAAAATGTAAGTTTTTTTCTCTTATCAATCAGTCAAAGCGTAGCCCGTGGTTGTGGTAAACCAAAAATATTTTTTACTAAGTAATATTAGACCTTATATTCGGGAAATTACACTAGCGTAAAACATATTGCTAGTGTATCTATCAGTGTATAACATGTAATGAGGTTAAAGTGAGGTTAAAGTGTCTTCATAAGATCGTTATCTGCATACAAAAGAACTTAATATACCGCCTTTGTTCATTCCAAAAATATAAACAAATTATTGAGATGATAAAGATAACAACGATAAAGAAGATAAGAGTGCTCATCAAAAAATAGAGAAGGAGAGAGAGAGAGAGAGAAAAGAAGAGAGAGAGGGAGAGGGAAAGAGAGAAAGAAAGAGAGAGAAAGAGAGGGGAGAGAGAAAGACAGAGAGAGATAGAGAGAGAGAGAGAGGGGGGAAGAAAGGGTGATGTCGAATAGGATAACTATTATTTATGAATAGAAAGTAGAACGAATAATGCGATCATAACAGATGTATCTATGCCTATATATTTTAATTTTTCTCTATTGACACCAGACATGAAACCATTTGTTTTGACCCACCATTACATGCAACCATTCATTGCATATACTTGGATAATCATTGCAACTAGTGATGTCACGCTTGTCCCACATAAAGTTCATTTTCTAGCAAAACAGTCGATTTACCGTTTCAGTACCCAGCCCTTTTTATTTTTTAAGTAATTTTGTCCTTCTCTTAGATGAAACTCGGTAAGCTACACTCACTTCTTTATGAGACTCAATTTCATAATTGAAAATTATCCATTCAGTTTAATGCTCGTTAACGGCAACCCTTTTTATTAAAGGTTTTATTTGATAACGCTCACAAACCGTTGGCATTGTCGGTGTCAAAATCTTTGAATTTAATTGTTCCTTGTTCTTACACCTTTTACTAAAGATGAAACTAATTCGCCTCTATCTGATCATTTTGATATTAAATTTTATTCACAAATCCTACATTGTTCCTTAAGAATCGATATAGACAAAATGCATTGATATGTTTTCAATTTTCTTTGAAAAGAAATAGCCGGGGACCTAAACCATGATCTAATCAGGCAGATACATACAATGAGGTATCAATACGCGGCAAGGGACTTCAAATGTCACATTCCAGATTTCAAACAAATGGACCGCCCCCCTCCTCATTTTCCGAATATGGTGTCAGTCTCAAATGGCATATAATGTAATGTTATTGCCTACCAATATCAATTGCATATCATTTATTGCTTTTGCTTTAAATTCCATGTTCATAATACAAACAAAATTACTGTACTGTACATTTTTGTCCTCTTTCCAAATATTTGTATTTGTAAGCGCTGTGGTACTTATTGTTTTTAGCGCTCCTAAATATTCGATATTATTATTATTATTAAAATTAGGTTCCAATTTATCGTTTCCGTATCAGTCTCTTTATTTTAGAATGGAATTCGAACAAGTATAAGTTAAAATGACGCAAATGATTTCACAGGTTTTAAATGCCTGGTTCCATAATATCACATCGAGTACAACACCATAATTATGCCTTTTGTTTTAGTGCCAAGGAAACCGGTATACCACTGATCACATCACTGCAAAACATGCTATCACAACATACATACGGTGCTTTGGATACTGAGCACAATGAAGCACAGAGAGAGCACACCGATGGAGAAGATCATGTACTGTCTAATACGCCTACAGTACTTCGACCCGATGCATTTAAAGAGGACGAGAAGACAGAGCTGTCACACGGTACTCTTGTAAATATGAATACCGAACCATCCGCTGATGACAAGTGCGTCAAATTGGCAGAAATCTTAGAGATTAGAAAGGAAAACGTTTTTAATGGAATGAAGAAACTGGCCATGAGACGGAGTGATGCCAGTGTGTTCAAACTAGAGCTACCATTCAACCCTGTCATTGACCAGATGGATGATGAGGGATACACACCGCTCTACAAGGCAGCCTTAGAAGGTCGTCTCATTGCAGAAGACGCTTATGTAAACAAGGCAGATTCCAAGGGTTGTACACCATTCAATGCTGCCGTTCAATATGGTCATCTTGAAGCTGTCGAATATCTCATGACTAAAGGAGCCAAGCAGAACAGATATGCTGGAAGGACGCCACTCTATGCTGCAGCACAACTTGGTCATTTAGACATCGTCAAATTCTTCATTTCGAAAGGAGCTGATGTAAACGAAGAAGATGAAAAGGGGGAAATTCCTCTTCACGGTGCAGCTTCTGGAGGCCACTTAGAAGTCATGAAATATCTCATTCAGCAAGGATCTAATGTGAACAAGGCGAATTCCGAGGGTTGGACTCCATTCAATGCTGCCGTTCAGTATGGCCATCTTGAAGCTGTAAAATATCTCATGACTAAAGGAGCGACGCAAAACAGATATAATGGAATGACCCCACTCTATGCTGCAGCACAATCTGGTCATTTAAACATCGTACAATTCGTCATTTCTAAAGGAGCTGATGTGAACGAAGAACATGACAAAAGAATGATTCCTCTCCACGGTGCAGCTTCTGGAGCCCATTTAATAGAAGTCATGAAATATCTCATTCAACAAGGATCTAATGTGAACAAGACAAATCTCAAGGGTTGGACTCCATTCAATGCTGCCGTTCAATATGGCTATCTTGAAGCTGTCAAATGTCTCATAACTGAAGGAGCGAAGCAGAACAGATATAATGGTAAAGCCCCTCTCTATGCTGCCGCAAAATGTAGTCATTTAGACATCGTCAGACTCTTCATATCCAATGGCGCTGATGTGAACGAAGAAGATGAGGAAGGGGAGATTCCTCTCCACGGTGCAGCTATTGACGGTAACGTTGAAGTCATGGCATATCTCATTCAGCAAGGTTCTGATACGAACAAGTGTGATGCCGATGGTTGGACACCATTCAATGCCGCTATTCAATATGGTCATCTAGAATCCGTCAAATACCTCATAACTAAAGGAGCGAAGCAGAACAGATATGCTGGAAGGACCCCACTTTATGCCGCAGCACAATTGGGTCATTTAGACATCGTCAGACTCTTCATATCCAATGGCGCTGATGTAAACGAAAAAGATGAGGAAGGGGAGATTCCTCTCCACGGTGCAGCTAATGACGGTAACGTTGAAGTCATAAAATATCTCATTCAGCAAGGATCTGATGTAAACAAGATGGATGCCGAGGGTTGGACACCGTTCAATGCTGCTGTCCAAGAGGGCCAATTAGAAGCTGTCAAATATCTCATGACTAAAGGAGCGAAGCAAAACAGAAATGATGGAATGACCCCACTCTATGCCGCAGCCCAATCTGGTCGTTTAGACATCGTCAAATTCTTCATATCCAATGGCGCTGATGTGAACGAAGAAGATGACAGAAGGAAGATTCCTCTCCACGGTGCAGCTTGTGAAGGCCACTTAGAAGTCATGGAATATCTCATTCAGCAAGGATCTGATACGAACAAGTGTGATGCTGAGGGTTGGACACCATTCAATGCTGCCGTGCAATATGGCCATCTAGAATCCGTCAAATACCTCATAACTAAAGGAGCGAAGCGGAACAGATATGCCGGAATGACCCCACTTTATGCCGCAGCACAATCTGGTCATTTAGACATCGTCAAGTTCTTCATCTCAGAAGGAGCTGATGTGAACGAAGAAGATGAGGAAGGGATGATTCCTCTCCGCGGTGCAGCTGCTGGAGGCCAATTAGAAGTCATGGAATATCTCATTCAGCAAGGATCTGATGTGAACAAGGCTGATGCCAAGGGTGGGACATCATTCAATGCTGCTGTCCAAGGGGGTCATCTTGAAGCTGTCGAATATCTCATGACTAAAGGAGCGAAGCAGAACAGATATGATGGAATGACCCCACTCTATGCCGCAGCACAATCTGGTTGTTTAGACATCGTCAAATTCTTCATATCCAATGGCGCTGATGTGAACGAAGAACATGCCAGAAGGATGATTCCTCTCAACGGTGCAGCTCATAGAGGCCAATTAGAAGTCATGGAATATCTCATTCAGCAAGGAGCTGATGTGAACAAGGCTGATGCCAAGGGTGGGACATCTTTCAATGCTGCTGTCCAAGGGGGTCATCTTGAAGCTGTCGAATATCTCATGACTAAAGGAGCGAAGCAGAACAGATATGATGGAATGACCCCACTCTATGCCGCAGCACAATCTGGTTGTTTAGACATCGTCAAATTCTTCATATCCAATGGCGCTGATGTGAACGAAGAAGATGACAGAAGGAAGATTCCTCTCCACGGTGCAGCTTGTGAAGGCCACTTAGAAGTCATGGAATATCTCATTCAGCAAGGATCTGATACGAACAAGTGTGATGCTGAGGGTTGGACACCATTCAATGCTGCCGTGCAATATGGCCATCTAGAATCCGTCAAATACCTCATAACTAAAGGAGCGAAGCGGAACAGATATGCCGGAATGACCCCACTTTATGCCGCAGCACAATCTGGTCATTTAGACATCGTCAAGTTCTTCATCTCAGAAGGAGCTGATGTAAACGAAGAAGATGAGGAAGGGATGATTCCTCTCCGCGGTGCAGCTGCTGGAGGCCAATTAGAAGTCATGGAATATCTCATTCAGCAAGGATCTGATGTGAACAAGGCTGATGCCAAGGGTGGGACATCATTCAATGCTGCTGTCCAAGGGGGTCATCTTGAAGCTGTCGAATATCTCATGACTAAAGGAGCGAAGCAGAACAGATATGATGGAATGACCCCACTCTATGCCGCAGCACAATCTGGTTGTTTAGACATCGTCAAATTCTTCATATCCAATGGCGCTGATGTGAACGAAGAACATGCCAGAAGGATGATTCCTCTCCACGGTGCAGCTCATAGAGGCCAATTAGAAGTCATGGAATATCTCATTCAGCAAGGAGCTGATGTGAACAAGGCTGATGCCAAGGGTGGGACATCATTCAATGCTGCTGTCCAAGGGGGTCATCTTGAAGCTGTCGAATATCTCATGACTAAAGGAGCGAAGCAGAACAGATATGATGGAATGACCCCACTCTATGCCGCAGCACAATCTGGTTGTTTAGACATCGTCAAATTCTTCATATCCAATGGCGCTGATGTGAACGAAGAACATGACAAAGGGATGATTCCTCTCCACGGTGCAGCTTGTGAAGGCCACTTAGAAGTCATGGAATATCTCATTCAGCAAGGATCTGATACGAACAAGTGTGATGCTGAGGGTTGGACACCATTCAATGCTGCCGTGCAATATGGCCATCTAGAATCCGTCAAATACCTCATAACTAAAGGAGCGAAGCGGAACAGATATGCCGGAATGACCCCACTTTATGCCGCAGCACAATCTGGTCATTTAGACATCGTCAAGTTCTTCATCTCAGAAGGAGCTGATGTGAACGAAGAAGATGAGGAAGGGATGATTCCTCTCCGCGGTGCAGCTGCTGGAGGCCAATTAGAAGTCATGGAATATCTCATTCAGCAAGGAGCTGATGTGAACAAGGCTGATGCCAAGGGTGGGACATCATTCAATGCTGCTGTCCAAGGGGGTCATCTTGAAGCTGTCGAATATCTCATGACTAAAGGAGCGAAGCAGAACAGATATGATGGAATGACCCCACTCTATGCCGCAGCACAATCTGGTTGTTTAGACATCGTCAAATTCTTCATATCCAATGGCGCTGATGTGAACGAAGAACATGCCAGAAGGATGATTCCTCTCCACGGTGCAGCTCATAGAGGCCAATTAGAAGTCATGGAATATCTCATTCAGCAAGGAGCTGATGTGAACAAGGCTGATGCCAAGGGTGGGACATCATTCAATGCTGCTGTCCAAGGGGGTCATCTTGAAGCTGTCGAATATCTCATGACTAAAGGAGCGAAGCAGAACAGATTTGATGGAATGACCCCACTCTATGCCGCAGCACAATCTGGTTGTTTAGACATCGTCAAATTCTTCATATCCAATGGCGCTGATGTTAACGAAGAACATGACAAAGGGATGATTCCTCTCCACGGTGCAGCTCATAGAGGCCATTTAGAAGTCATGGAATATCTCATTCAGCAAGGAGCTGATGTGAACAAGGCTGATGCCAAGGGTGGGACATCATTCAATGCTGCTGTCCAAGGGGGTCATCTTGAAGCTGTCGAATATCTCATGACTAAAGGAGCGAAGCAGAACAGATATGATGGAATGACCCCACTCTATGCCGCAGCACAATCTGGTTGTTTAGACATCGTCAAATTCTTCATATCCAATGGCGCTGATGTTAACGAAGAACATGACAAAGGGATGATTCCTCTCCACGGTGCAGCTCATAGAGGCCATTTAGAAGTCATGGAATATCTCATTCAGCAAGGAGCTGATGTGAACAAGAAAGATAACACTGGGTGGACGCCATTACATGCTGCAGTCAGTAACGGCCATTTAGAAGTTGTTAAAGTTCTATTGGCCAAAGGAGCTCAGGGTACCATGTTTGAAGGATTGACCCTTGTCCTTGTCTCCAATGGATTTGATGTGAACGAAAGAAATGAATGCGGTAAGTCCCCTCTTCATGCAGGATGTTACAATGGTAACATTGATATCTTGAAATTACTTGTTCACCACAACGCTCATGTCAATGTACAAGATGATGAAGGATGGACACCACTCGAAGCCGCTGCACAAGAAGGACATGAAGATGTAGTAGATTTCCTTGCATTGGATGGAGCAGACACGGACGTGAACGACATAGATGGTTTGGCGCCGCTTCAGGCAGCAGCGAACGCAGGCCATCCAAATGCAGTAGAAGGCATCTCACCTTGTAGAGGTGATCCGGATGAGGAAGAAACTGGAGATCAACGTTCCCGTGACCACCAGAAACGCATCGAAGGAGAGTATGTGACGGTGACAATGAAGGATGCAGACACGACATCACACACGGGACAGTTAGCATCTCAGGTAGACAATGTGGAGAATACGAACGACTGCACTCAAGCTGATAATGCGAAGAGAGGAGACGCCGAACTCTCCTTGAAGAATCTTCACAGTAGGACCCATGATGATGAAGAAAGTGGCAGAGAAGAACACAATCCTTTCATCCATGCTAAGCTGAAATATCCTGAAAAAGGTGAACAAGATCCAATGCTAGATCAGATTGAAGCAATGGAGAGCCCCGTGACCACAAATGACGCAGGCGGTTCTTCCCCGCGCGGATCTCAGACATGGCAATACAGCGGATTCGATCCACCCCATCTTCAAACCATGGAGACTGACCGTCACCCGTCTGAAGACCTGGAATCCAGATGTCACTCACCAATTGACGAAAACAGTGAAATTCGAGTGAGTGGTTATTATTAGTTTAAGTTTTCTCTAAACAAAGCATATGCCATAGATTTGATTGAAACTTTGGATAAAAAAGATAATTGAAAATACAGATATGTTTGGTAGCAACCATTCAGCCAATTCTAATTTCATCATAGAGATGAAAAACAAAGCTTCGAAGAAAGCAAAATTGATGACCTTTTGTGCATAGCCCAATAGTGATATGTTTTGCTTCAAACACACCTATGCATGACAAAAAAAACTGAAATTCTAAAAATAGAGAATGAAAAATTACATGCAATGCTATTTTACACAATGGTTAGTTATTTTGGTTGTAAGAAACAATAATGTGTTCATTATATGCATGACTTTTGAATTTCGTCTTTCTCGTTGTTTTGTCTAATTCATCCTAAAGCATCCGTGCTGACCAAAACTAATTGTCGCCGTTATGTCTTCATATATCACATTGTTCCACAACATTATAATGTTACATTTTCTCTGATTTAATTGATTTTCCCTGTCAGGAATCTTCTTCACCGATGAATGCTGGAAATGATCCTCCAATTAACAGAACATCAGAGAGTGAGAGGTACTAGTCATTTTTCGTTTTTGTATTATGAGGAAATCTTATCATTCGTATAACGAGATGTATTTAGTACATATATTTCGCTCCACAATGAACTGCATCATTAGTAACAACAGTTTTTTTTAATGTTTGTTGATATTTAGAATTATTTTACATATTCTTCATAATGTATATGAATAATCGTTTATGAAAAAGAGCACTTTCAGATTTATTACCTGCCTGGACTTGATCCTTATGAAGATAGAGAACAGTGAACCAACACCTGATGCGGTACCAATGTACTGTTGGGGTCAATATTTTAAATCTAGGTATTTTTCCTTTGCCATATGTGGGCTTTCATGTACATTTACTTGTATTTGTCAACAGTCATACATACATTTCTATATTTCAGAGATTTTAGGTACCCATTTTGATTGGCATTTTTTTTGGTTTACATCAGCTAACTTATTTCTACAATTAAATTCAACAGCTTTCCTAAACAACTACCAGATGTCGTTCACCAACAGTTGTATGACCGAAACCCTGTCTCCACCCATGGAACCTCCTCAAACTCAGTTCGGAAAATCAGGGTAAGAGAGAATTATTGCTTCAATTTATTATTGATATATAACTTGATGTTGACGTTATGAAATAGTATAACAAGCTTATGATAAAAATGAAGAAAAAAAACCGACTTCTGTGAAAGGACACTTCCAGAATATTTAGATAATTTTTGTGAGGAAGGGTGTCTACCCATGCAGTGTTACATTTTTTTCTTCATATCAGATCATTGCCGAATGAAATATTCCATGACTTTGTCAAATTTCAACGACGTTCTTTCAAATTCATACCCTTTTAGACCAAACGTCGAACATCGGTTTACCGATGTCCTTCAAACCTGACCCTCGTACAAACTTTCCTGCAGATGATAATCGCTTTGGCCATCATTCTTGCTGGAAGTCCGTTTCTCGTAGCAGGCAGGGGTATCACTGAACGGGTAACGCTGCAAGCAGGTAAACCTGGTGTTGTCCCATTCCATCTCCCATTGTCACCTAGTAACACATCCCAGATTTTGACATATTACACACTTGGATTTCAATCCGAGCCTCGTCCATTCTGCTTTAATGGACAAAATGATATCGCGGGCTTCAAAAACCCATCCCAGTTGCGAAGGTTTACCACCTCAGTCACATATTTAGACAACTCTCCTTGCGTGAATCTAATGATAGATAACGTTGATAGTCTAGATGAGGATGGGTACGTATTAACGGCAGCCTGGCATAGTTTTGAGAACGTTAGGTTTGAAACTGTGAAGAAGGAGATTGTTGTACAAATTCCCCCCGGATCTGCAAAATGCTTCATCACTTTTAGTGAAAATGTTGAGTATCCATATGAAGTACACTGTCGAGCCACCACTGGAAGCGTTACAACCACGATATCATGTTACCAGAATGATCGGAAGATTGACGTCAAGGGTGAAATTACAGATAATGGCCAAATTACCAGTGGTATATTCTTGCTAGCCGATTACACTCATTTCTTATGTTGCTCACATGATGTTACCTCGCATGTGAATGAAACAACGTGCAATGACTTTGTGTGGCCACACGGCAAAGAAACTAGAGGACAGACTTTTACTGTACCTTCATTGTTTACCACTCCCACACCCCACATAGAATCTCATACAGAATCAGGGGCTTGTAGGCAATTCATGCTTCCTTCTCTGAGGCACTTCACATACCTATTCGTATACATCATCGCCTTTGTTACAATATACTAAACACAAAGTCTTCACTCGTGATGTCACTTTCTTAATTCACAAAATAGTGTAATACTAACAAACAAATGTGAAAATATATTATCTTTAGAATTCGAATTTCATTAATGTATATAATGTACAAAACATTTATTATTTCACAGTCGTTGCTAATATTCATATATATTTGTTTTACTTGAAAGAAATATCAAAATGGCCTACTTCTCAATTCGTTGTTATGTGTATGAATGCATAGTTGAGTAGCCTATAGTCTGCTATATTTCAAAAATTGAGGGAAGATATTTAATATCAATGGCATTCTCTTTTATCAGCATGTCGATTTGACATAGACCAGGCCTTTTAAGTAGCCTGCTATCACCCAGCCATGTCTGACCCCGACTTTAGAATGAATTTGAACCATGGGGATGATATGAATTACTCCTACGATTGACATGTGCACGATGACCATTACTCTAAAGTTCTATGATACCCATAATATATCCTCATCGTTAATAATGAAAATATTAATTTGGAACGTGATTTCTTTCCAGATTTTATTTTCACTATTTTCAACTTTATGTCGAGCCTGGTGTTCCATTAAAACGACATGATATAAATATAACGAATGACGTCAGAGATTAGAAGAAATTGGACATAAGAATTAAATATACCATTATATTGTAAATATCCCCCGTTTGAAACCAGAAAGTAAAAGACGTTAGCACAGATATAACGCCTGTCTGGCTGCAAATGGCAGTACATAAGGTTATGTATCGTTGTGTCTAAATGTGTAAATATGACTTTGGATCATGAAAATAAGAAATATTGAACGGGGACGCATGTTCCATTGTCAAAGTCAAAGTAAATTTTCATAGTGCACATGCTTATGCAAGTGAAGTTGTGCCTATACATCTTAAGATATTCGACTAAACAGTTTTATCAATTTGCAAACACAGTATTTTATAGCAAACACTGTGGTAAAATGATTGGTTTTCTCATAAAGTCTGCGTTTCTTTACTTTTGTATACTTATGTTAACTTTTGTTATTCATATTACTTTTAGTTTCTTAAACATCGCTGTTGAAAAGCATTTCCTACATAATTTGTTTGGCTTAATCAATTATTTTAAAAAATATATTGAACTTGCATGTCTACTTTTACTAATGTAGTTTACATTGATGTACAAGTAATACAGAACGGATTGAATTGTGTTATATAACGCCATTCCCAACACAAGCCACGCACGATAGAGAAATTGTGCTTCGTTGCAGACTATGATGTTATATATAAAGCAACTTACTGCATGGAGTTATGCGGAGTGTATATCACATTTTAATTTCATAATCTAAGAATATTTGAATTACAGAGTTTAAATATGTTGTTAAATTAAAAGAGGAACACTATACTCATGTACAGGTAGCAAGTTTCTTTATATCATCTTTGCAAATAGAAAAAAATATATAATGTGATTTTAAAAACATGTTTGTAGAAATATTTGTAAAAGTCCGTCAAAAGCAGATTGAGTCTTCCTTCTTTTACACTCTCCTTGCCATATTAAGGCTCGGAGCTGACCCGATTGTGTTACTCAGTTATGTTATTATGTTGATTTCATTTCATGTATACCTTTATCTTGATTCGGTTATCTATAATACGGTAACGAATCCAGGGGTTGTATTCCCCTGTCCTGTTTATCGTATACTTAATGTGCAGTCTACTGTATACGGCCTAAGCATACATAATGTTGTCAAAACTTTGATCCTGCTATCATCTTTTGAATATTTGTTGTGTCATCTTTACTGGAATTTAAGTGCACTAATTTCAAATATCTATGTAAGCCGCAGTTTAAATGTCACGGTTTTATAATGAAACTCGTTGTGGACTTACACTATACGATTTGCATTTTATCATACATAAGAACAATCAAAAACGTATTCACGTATTGTTAATCGTACAATATGAAATGTGTAAGAAATATTGAAAGTTATCAGTGTTAATAGCTAATGCTGTATATTATTCGTCGATACAGGTCATGTTTTAAAATATTTTTTATGAATTATTTGCGATTTATAAGGACATTGTTTTTAATATTTTGCCTACCGTTGAAGCTTATCTTCTAAATTGAAATGTTATATATATTGTATTGTGTTGAGCATATTGTCCAGTTATCTATGAAAATCGTAGTCAATTGATTGGCAAATATTGTCCCGTATAGTAACCGAACCTATCTGCGTATTGTGAATAATGAATTACGAATTTCGAAGTCGTAGTAGCAAAACTATTAATGCTGTATATGTATATATCAGTCATTATTTTACTCAATATTATAATCATTATAAAATAACGCAAACGGTATTTTGTGATAGAGTAAGTGCATAGATTGTGCACATGTTGAAATTATCTTTGACGATCATACCGACATACTTGCTCATATTACGAAAGAATGTTGGTAACGAAGGGACTAATTTCCTATTAAAAAAACTGTTATACACCAAAACACCAGCCATGATGAGGAGAGACAAACTAAAAACAATAATTTAATAGTTAACACAATTATGTATGTACATATTCTGATTTATGGCTATACAATATAAGATACCTATATATAGTTTACAGATATCCAATGTATGTATAGAAGAAGTAAATTCCTAATGTATTTGAAATCTTGCAATCGAGAGAAATTATAAAATTATCTTCCTTTGTAAATAATGTTATCACTATACTATATAACGTATACTTTTGCTTAGTGTTTCAGTGTTCTTCTATTCATTTGTGAATAGTTATTTTTGTAAACACTGAATAGATAAAATAGATGTATAGAATGTACATAAACTTTCTTTGAGTTTCATATATGATCAGTATGCTTCCATGCCTCTCAGTGCGTTATGTTACTATTAATATATGTTAACGTCGTTTCAAAACAACAACATACACAATCCATCAGCTGGTTATTATGCACTAACAATATTATACTCTCATGAATTTCAATAGTTTTTTCGCACTTTTTTTTAATAATTATTTGAAAGTGTTTTCTTTCTCGCTTTTCTCTGGAATAAAGAATTTGATGATTAAGCAATTATGTACCCAAACAGGAATATATATTGTTTTACAGTGTTGTGCTTTGTTGTAGTAGAATGAAATCCATATTACAAGGGTTCGCATATTAGAAGTGTAAATATAAAACAAGAAAGAAAGGACAAGAGAAACAGATAACAACACAACGCATGCATGCAGTTATATCCAATCCAGTCTGTTTAATAGTATCTTTGTAGAGGTTTA